GATTGTGATTAGGTATTGGAGCTTGGGGAAGACGGAGCGGATGAAGGCTATTTCGGGGCCGAGGTCGGGGGATCGGGCGCCGGGGCCGCCGGGGATGATGAGGACTTGGAGGTTGGATGGGGGGGAGGTGAGGGTGTGGGTTGGGGAAATGGTGGGCCAGAAGGTGGATCTGTGGGTGTTCATCATTGCCGAGGCGGGCTCGGAGGTTACGGGGAGAAGGGTGCGGGAGAGGAGGGTGAGGGTTAGGTGGCGGTTGTGCTAGGGGGAGGTTAGTTAGGGGGATGGGGAAGGGGGAAGAAAGGGGAGGGGGGGCTTACGGCTAGGAGTTGGAGGGTGTCGAGGGGGCCGTAGATGTCTAGCGGTTGGAAGGCGCGGATGAGGAGGATGCCGTAGTGGGTTGGGGGTTCTTCTGAGGGGGAGGTGATGGGGATGGGGGGGGGGTTGCCTTTTCCTTTTGCTTTGCCGTGTTGTGGGGAGGCGAGGACTGAAGAGGTGAGTAAGAGGAGGGTGGTGAGAAGTCCGATGAGGGATGAGTTGGGCTTCATTTTGAAGAGGTGTGAGAGTGTTCTCCTAAACAAAAGATGAAGTTTTTCTTTTCCCCCAGTGGTCGATGAGAGATCAGTTTCTTGAAAAACCAATCAGTCCGCAATAGACAAGTTAGATCCAGCGTGAAAAGAAAACCTGGGATGCCAGTGTGAGAAGAAGATGCCGCCTTTTATACACACAACTCTCGATGAAACCCTTCCTTCCCCTTGTAGCTCTTCTCAGCTTCTTCTTCACTAACAAAACAAGAAACACTCCACGGAAAGAGATGGTCCGTCAAAAAAATCAATAAAAAAAGACCTTCACCTGACGACCTACATCATTCAATAGGTAACGTTTCCAACGGTGAGGGTACGAACCCGCGCGTACACAGTCTACCGGACATTACCCAACGCCACGATTGGCTGGCTCGAACTCGCCGTTATTATCACAAACTATCCAGTTCGCACTTGAGTCGTTCCCTAACTACCAACCGACGTCTGAGTAAGCATCCCCAGTACCTGGATTGTGAGCTGAGTTGCAGGGGGGCAGTAGAGAGAAAGAGCAGGTTTTCTCACGATGGTTACACACACACACACACACACACATATATATATATATATCTCCCCCTACACCTTGCATGCCTACACCTTGCATGATGCTGCTTGCATGATGCTGCTTGCATATTTCGGAAGGGAAGCAGCAAGCAGGTAGGAGCATGAATGAGCACATTTCTTGCGAAATGTGATCAGAAAACTCCCTTTTGCCAAGAGGAAAGTGAATGCATGTTGAATCCTTCACGGAGTCCTTGACGGAAGCTACTTTTTTGGACAAGAGATGGATGAGGTTAAAAGGGAAAGGGGAGGTGGTGAACCTTGATGTCCAGGGTTAAGGGAAAGAAGAAGAAGAAGAAGAAGAAGAAGAAGAAGAAGAGGGATTGGGTAACCCCCACGATGAATGATGACACAACAAGCTCGTTATCTTATCTATGCCCCTCACCACCACCACCACCACCACCATGGATCTTGGATGGATATCCCGAAGCTACCCCTCCTCCCTCCTCCTCAAATCGGAGACAGAGGCCAAGACGGAAAAGGGGGGGAGGGTCCAAGAGGGGTGGATATCAACGGCGGCTTTTGCAGGAGCAGTCAATTGAAGTTTAAACTTCTTCATTTTCACAACCAATCCAACTTTCCCAAGTGACAATTGTGAGAAACCAACAACATCAAAATGTCCCACCAACACACCCACGACGGCGTCCACTTCCACGCCTCCCACGACCACGCCGTCTCCTTCTCCGCAGCAGACCACGGCCACTCCCACGAGATCCTCGACGGCCCCGGCTCCTACCACGGCCGCGAAATGCCCATCACCGAAGGCCGCAACTGGGCCGACCGCGCCTTCACAATCGGCATCGGCGGGTACGCTTCCCTTCCCCCCTTTATCCCCCCTCTCTATATACTAACCCCCTTTTTATAGCCCCGTAGGATCAGGCAAAACAGCCCTCATGCTCTCCCTCTCCCGCCACCTCCGCTCCTCCTACTCCCTCGCGGCGGTAACAAACGACATCTTCACCCGCGAAGACGCAGAGTTCCTCACCCGAAACAAAGCCCTCCCCGCCCCCCGCATCCGCGCAATCGAGACCGGCGGCTGCCCCCACGCCGCCGTCCGCGAGGACATCTCGGCCAACCTCGCCGCCCTCGAGGACCTCCACGCCCAATTCGACACCGACCTCCTCCTCATCGAGTCCGGGGGCGACAACCTCGCCGCTAACTACTCCCGTGAACTCGCCGATTACATCATTTACGTCATCGACGTCAGCGGCGGCGACAAGATCCCGCGCAAGGGAGGCCCGGGCATCACACAGAGCGACTTGTTGGTCGTCAACAAGACCGATCTCGCCGAGATTGTCGGCGCGGATTTGGATGTCATGGACAGGGACGCGAGGAAGATGAGGGAGGGGGGGCCGACGGTCTTCGCGCAGGTCAAGAAGGGGGTCGGGGTGGAGCATATTGTTGACTTGATCTTGAGTGCTTGGAGGGCGAGCGGGGCCGAGGAGCAGAGGAGGAGTGTTGGCGGCCCAAGGCCGACGCCTGGGTTGGAGGAATTGGAGTAGACGACGCATATGTAAACAGAAAGATGAGATGGCAAAATATGAAAAAGAACAAGAACAAAAATCTTTTCATTAATCCCCATCCCAAAAACGCCGTCATGAAAAGACCCTCTGTCAGGAGGGTATATATCTAACCACCTACTCAGCATCCGCATCCATAGCATCATCCTCCACCAAGTCAGGCACCTGCTCAGGGTCAAGCAACAGCCCCCTCAACGGCTCCGCAGGACGGGGCCACACCCGCTTGTACAAGCTGACACCGACCGAGTCCTGGGGGTTGATCCGCCCGTCAAACGTCGCCTTGAAGTACCCGTGAGTACCGAGGGGCTCCTTGATGAAACCGGTGCGGCCTCTCCTGGTCCACATGGGCAGCGCCTTGAACCATTCCACGTCTTCTCTGTTGAAGAACATGTACCGGACGGTAACGATCTTCTTGTGGATGTGGTATGGGTGACCGGTGAGAATTGCCCTCTTGGCAATGACACGGGAGGTAGACGGGGGCATGGTGGTGCCCGTGGCCACCAGCTTCAGCGGCAGATCCGACTCGTCGTCGTCGTGGGGAGTCTCCTCGCCAGGAACAATTCTCTTGTAAAAAAGAGCCGGCATGGAACCCCACGCTACAGGACCCATAAAGGTCGCCACGGCCGACTGTCCGGGGTGAATGTACCGGCAGTACTTGTGGACGTCGTTGGGAGTGGCGCCGCCCTGAGAAAACAAGGGCTTGATGACGAACCTCCTTGGGCCGTACTGAACAACCAACTCCTCCTTTGACTTGATGGGCGCTGTGGCATCAGCAGGGAGGTTGATGAGAATGTTCATGGCGGTCCGCTTGTGCTCGTGCCTCAACAGAGAAACAAGAGCGAGCGGTCGGCCTGAGCTGTGAGAAGCCCGAACCTCTGATGGCACGCCTCTGAGGTGGACGTGAACACGAGTGCCAGGGGCAACACCGCCAACCAGAGCTTCTCTAGCCGATCTGATGCGGGCCGCCTGGTAGTCTTGAATTTGAAGTAACCTTCTCCACTCCTCCGGCTCGTGCGCGCGATCCTCCTCTTCTACCCAAGGACTCGTCCTCAAGCTCTTGAGACCTCTGTACTTGGCCAGTCTTTCCCGGGCGAGAACATTGGGGTGGAGCTCGATCTCATCCGGGAACTCCAAGTCGTCCTCGGCCTCGGACCGCTTCTGCTTGCGATAGGCCTCCAGCCCCATAGCGTCCTCATCCTCGTCGGGCTCGACGAATGCTACCGACTTGGCATATTCTGTTGGCGCGCCCTCGGTCATGGCAACGTCCCCAGCAGCACCCTCGATGCCGTCCTCTGGTCTCGCTGGCTCCTCCTCTAGCGCATCCTCCATCTCGAAATCCTCGAGGTCTGATCCATCCTCTGACTCCTCACCGCCGTCCAAGAACCAGGCGGCCTGGTACTTGGAAGTGCCCTTGGGCACCTTTTTGGGCATTTGGAGCGCAATAACTTGGTCGTCGTCAGAGAAATAATGGTGCTCGTCCAGCAAAACTCCCTTCTTCTGCTCAGGCACGGCGGAAGCGGCATCCATATCGTCGTCCTCCATGTTGACCTCTTCCGGTGCAAGCTCGGCAAGCTCATCCTGGTCCTCGGTAGGAGCGTCCAAAGCGTCTCCCTCCGCTCCGCCGACAGCCATACCCTCAGGTTTCGGGGCCGCAAGCGGTGCAGCGGTGATCTTTTCGATTTGGAATGTTCCCCAATCCCCAACCTGAACCAGTCTGTCCGCCTTGAGACCCTTGCCCCTGACCACACCGGTGACAACCGTGGACTCACCGCCAAAGTTGACATCCTCCACCAACATCCAACTCCGCTCATCTCTCCACCTGACACCCTTCGGCGTGGTGTTGCACAGCGAGCGCATCAAGTTGGCGCATTCCTGGCGGTTGTCGAGGCTGCAAAGCTTCTCCTGTTCGGGGTGGAAATGGGTGATGTATGATTTGAGGGAAGAGATGACCGACAACCTCTGCTTCGCGGCTTCGATCTTGTTGAGGCCCTGGATGACGGTAAACAGGGTGGACATGCCCTGGCTTTCGACGCTGCGAATGATGAGCTCTCCCAGGGGGTCAACCTCGTGCTCGGCCGAGAGGATCAGAACGACGAAATCGGCTACCCGAGCGGCGTCCAAGCATGCGGTAAGGTCCCTGGTTACAGGGAAATACTGCAGCTTCTGCTTGAATCTAGTGACGGGCACCCGGAAGCATCCCTCCTTGATCTCAGCCTCGGCTTCTACGCTCTCGTTCAGGGCCTTGATGGCAGCGACAGCGTCGCCATCCACACACAGGGGGATAACGGCAACATTGCGCGGCGCACCGTCCTTGCCGGCGAAGACCGAAGTCTCCCTGGCATGTTCCCTAGCCTTCTCCTGCTGCCTCTGTTTCGCACGGTTCTTTCGGTCGAGTTTAGACATGGCTTGCTGGTGGATCGTCTTGCGCTGTCCGGGTTCGATTCTGCCTGTTGGTTCGGAAATGTCAGCCAACGGCCCGACTGTTGCAAACTAAATTCTCCAAAGTCCTCTGTTCTGTGCAGCCCATTCATTGCCCCTTTTAGACCCCAATCCCCCATGGTTCCCCGAGCACGGCGTGACTCATACCTTTGGCAGCGTCCCGAAGCTGACCCTTGGTTGCCTTTCGCGATTTGAAGCCCTTGTTCCGCTGCTTGGTAGTCGGGCGGTGGGAATGGCCCGTGGCCACGGCGCCAGGCATCTTTGCGTCGCTGCCGGCTTTGAATCGGAAGGGAAGAGACGCCACTTTGTCGTACTTTTGAATCGTCTGTCGTTTTTCGTAGAACTTGGAACTGAATTATTGCCCGTATTACAGAGTGAGACGAGGGGTGGTGATGATGGCGGGGCACATCTTTTTTCGACCTTGTGGGCATATCTTATCAGTCGCATTGTGCGACCAATCAGATAACCTTTCCCCAACTTTTCAGTGGGCCCCCTGCCAAAAAAAGTTCCGAACAGCAACTGAGCAACCGGCGCTGCTCTAGGTTGGGGAGTTCTCTTCTTTTCTGCCCATTCATTTATCACACAATTCCAGTCAGCCAAAGATGGAGATAGACACCGTCGACGCGCCCCTCACGAGGGTATCACAGCCCAGCAACGGTCAGCTCGCCGTCAGGAAACCACGAACCGAACTCAAATCAAAGTCCGAGATTGCAAAGGCCCGTCGCCAAAGAGATGCGCAAAAGGCCTACGGTCGCGGTCGCGGAATCGACGTCAAGACCGCCAGGGACAAGAAGTTACGGCGGAACCTCAGCACACTCGAGAACAAGTACAAGGAGGCGGCATACAAAGCCAAGGAAGCAGAGATCCTGCTGGAGAACACAGCTGGCTTTATCGAGCCAGAGACGGAGTTGGAAAGGACATACAAGGTTCGCCAGGACGACATTCAGAAAAATGTCGCCATTGAGGTGGCGCAAAAGGGGTTCGAGCTGAAGCTCAACGAGTTGGGGCCATATATTTGCGAATACAGCAGGAATGGTCGAGACTTGATCCTGGCGGGGAGGAAAGGCCATGTCGCGACGATGGACTGGCGAGACGGAAAGCTGGGCTGTGAGCTTCAGCTGATGGAGACGGTTCGCGATGCGAGGTTCTTGCACAATAACCAGTTCTTCGCCGTCGCGCAGAAGAAGTATGTGTACATCTACGACTCGCAGGGTGTTGAGCTTCACTGCCTGAAGAAGCACGTCGAGGTGTCGCATATGGAGTTTCTGCCGTACCACTTCTTGCTGGCGACATTGGTAAGCGCAAAGCAGCTTTCTCGGGGGCTGATCGCTTTTGAAGCTGACACTTTCCCAGGGCATCAACGGTTCCCTCAAATACCAAGACACCTCGACCGGTCAAATCGTCTCCGAAATCTCGACCAGACAAGGCACCCCCGTCTCCCTCACCCACAACCCCTACAACGCCATCCTCCACGTCGGCCAGCAAAACGGCACCGTCACATTATGGTCGCCAAACTCGAGCGAACCCCTCGTGAAACTTCTTGCCCACCGCGGGCCCGTGCGATCCGTCGCCGTAGACCGCGAAGGTCGCTACATGGTATCGGCAGGCCAGGACAACAGGATGTGCATCTGGGACGTTCGCAACTTCAAGGAGTCCGTCTCGTCGTATTTCACCCGGTCACCAGCCACCTCGGTCGCCATCTCAGACACGGGCTTGACCGCGGTCGGCTGGAACACCCACACCACCATCTGGCGCGGCCTCTTTGACAAGAACAAGCCCGTCCAAGAAAAGGTCCAGTCACCCTACATGACCTGGGGCGGCGAAGGCCACAAGGTCGAGCGCGTCCGGTGGTGCCCCTTTGAGGATGTTCTTGGTGTAGGCCACACGGAAGGGTTCTCGTCACTGATCGTCCCGGGCGCCGGCGAGCCCAACTATGACGCTCTGGAAGTCAACCCCTTCGAGACGAAGAAGCAGAGGCAGGAAGGCGAGGTCAAGGCTCTGCTGAACAAGCTCAAGCCCGAGATGATTGCGCTCGACCCCAACTTCATCGGCAAGCTGGATTTGCGATCGGAGCAACAGAGGAAGGCGGACAGGGACCTGGATGCGGCGCCGGTGGATGTGGTGGAGGAGATGAAGAACAGGGCTAGGGGCAAGAACACGGCGCTGAAGAAATATCTGAGGAAGCAGAAGAAGAAGAACATTATTGATGACAAGAGGCTGAAGGTGGAGGAGGCCATCAAGGAGATGCAGGAGAGGAAGGATGAGAAGTTTAAGGATAGGCAGGAGCAGCTGGGGCCGAGTCTGGCGAGGTTTGCGAGGAAGGATTAGAGACGGTGGGGGGGGGTTGTGGTGATGATACCCGGTTATTAAGTAATAGCAAGATGTGTTGATGCTGCATGTGTCTGGGAAACCGTCTGTATGCCCATTTTGGATTCGAGATTGCCCAGCGCTTTTTCATGCTTTCCAAATCTAACTAACCATGGAACTCCCGCTTGCCCGTTGTTGTCTATACACCCTTTTCATCTCTTACACCCTAAGCTTACAAAAGCTTCAGCCCGCCGGTAACACCATCCACCTCGCTCTTTGGCGCGGGCCCAACACCAAGAACAGTCAAACTCCCACTCTCAATCTGTGTCCTCCCCGCATCGGCAATCACCTCAGCCGTAATCCCCAAGCTCCTCGCCGTCCCCTGCAGCAACAAAAGCTCCTCCTCACTCTTGACCTGAACCGCAATCTTGGCCTGCCCGCGCCGCTCCCACGCCTTGAGGATCTGTGCCGCCTTTCCGTTTGGGTCTTTGGAGGCAGCTTTGCTCAACGTCTTGTAGCAAGCCAGCGTTGCGTGGCCAGCCTGGGCAGCAATTTTCCCTATTTTTTTTTTGATTTTGTCAATCACCCCCACCCCATTATATCAGGCATAGTAGTAGTATAGTAGTAGTAGTACGCACCCTTCGTCATGCCCAAGTCAGTCCTCACCACCAGCACAAGCTTGCACTCCTCGGTTATCGGTTGAGAGGTGCTGGCGCGCAATCCCTGTTTTTTGTCTGCCTCGAAACCATTGGACCAGTTGGGGGCGTGGTCGAGGATTGTGTCTTCCTCGTCAATGTCGCTTTCTTCTGATTCCACGGGATCTTTCCATTGGGCTTCACGCTCGTGGCGGAGGGAGGGGGGGATGAGGTGGCCGGTTAGGGAATAGACACCTAACAAAAAGCCGGAGATGAAGGTTATTATCGAGGTTGTTAGGACGGTTGTGGAGGAGAGGAGGGTTGGGTCTTCTGCTGGCATGGTGGCGAGGATTGTGGTGATACTGGAGATGGATCGTCGGGGGGAAATAGGTGGAATATGGGATCGGGGGAGCGGTGAGAACGGGAGTGGTCGTGTCGTTGGTACTCGTAGAATGGTTGCTGTCCGTATGACGTTCATGTGTTGTTGGTATGGGAAATTTGGAAATCGGGGGATTTGTTTGATCTGCTAGCGACTAGCGCGCGGGCAGGCAAGGGGAGAAAATGCCCGGGGCGGTAAGTTCCGGATTGGGGCGGTACGGGTAATTACTGTAGTATGGTATTGTTACGCCGCGGGTTGACGGCCCTTCAGGGTGTAAGTGAGAGTGAGCTTATTCTCACAGGTCATTTTCACTGATTCATGAGGTTTTTCCGCTTTTTTCTCATAGACATTTCTCTCATGTAGGTGTTTTTGTTATTTTTGGAGAAACCACACCCGAAACGCCATCCCAAAACTGCTTTCTACCGGCCACTATTGTGAGCAGCGATTTGATCACCGTTACACAAAACACACCCTCAACCTCGACCTCACCCAACTCACTCACAATCTTACTTCCAACAACCCATCTGTCTTCACATATCAAGGCAATCTTCTCTCCACCACCCACCATGCCCCTCCCCCCAGCCCAAAAATCCCTCCTCGTCTCCCTCTCCGGCCCCTCCTCCTCAGGCAAAACAACGCTCGCCCGCCTCCTCCGCGACCTCCTCCCAAACACCTTCATCCTCCACGAAGACGACTTCTACAAGCCCGAATCCCTCCTCCCCTTTCGTTCCGGTCATCGAGACTGGGACTGTCCCGAAGCAATCGACCTCCCTGCCCTAACCAACGCCCTCACTTACATAAAATCCACCGGAAAATTCCCCGTACGCCCTTCCCCTTCCCCTTCCCCTTTCCCCCATATTTACTAACCCCTTTCTTAGCCCTTCATCAACTCAAAGGAAGACCAAAACACCCTCGGCGCCTGCCCCGCCTCCCCGTCCCACATCAACTTCGCCAAGGCCATCATCGCCAGCTCATCCCTCCACTCACTCCTCAAACACGCCAAGATTTGTATCCTGGATGGGTTTTTATTGTATTCACAGGCCGAGGAGTTCAAGCCTATCCTTGAGCTAATTGACATCAAGCTTTTTTTACTGGCGTCAGAGGAGAAGGCGGTGGCGAGGAGGAAGGCGAGGGATGGATATGTCACCCTCGAAGGGTTCTGGAAGGATCCGGAGGGTTATGTGGAGGAGGTTGTGTGGCCTAATTATGTGGAGCAGCATGGGTATTTGTTCGTGGACGGGGATGTAAAAAGGGGGAGGTTAGACAGAAAGGTGTTGGAGAGGGAGGGGATATTGGCTATGGGGGGTGGGGATGAGGATGGGCATGGGCATGAACTGACAGAAGAGGTTAACGTCAATGACGTAAACCTCATAGAAAGATAATCTCCTTTCGGCTGAATTTCAAGACA